CACACGGGTCCCGTTGCTGGGGGCCCGACGGTTGCTGGGAGCCCCCAGGTCGCACAACATTCAGACATGCACCCTGGAGGCCCACAGGAATCGATTTGAGGCAGCATTCATTTATTTTTTAATTTTCTCCGAACCCGTATCCTATATTCCTTGAACCCTACAACCCGCTTCACTTATCCTTCCTTGCCTTGCCTCACTTTAATTCTTATGGCAGCCTAAGATCCTGTGTCAACAGCTGATCATCTATGGTCTCCTCCTGGCGCTCGTCTTTGAACCAATGGCAGATAAGTCTCTCTCCTTCTACGGTCGCAACTTTGCCTTGGGCTAGTACCCTTTTTTTTTCTGGAATTTGGTTATTCTGCTTTCTAAAAGTTTTTTGACTTTGTTTTGAGCCATAATTGCAGCTAATGCTCTTAATATCATGGAAAGCAATACTGCAAAAAAAAAAAAAAAAAAAGGTTGTCCAGGGGCTACGTCCCACTACAGACGTTTTGCCACGCGGCCGCTTGGTTTCCGATCACGTGTGGCAAACGGTGACACATATTGTCCGTCGAACTTCAGGGATCTGAACGGCGGACGAGATTTGGAGGCCCTACTTCCGATATCATTCCCTCTCCCCCAATGACAGGCAGAGGAACCATTTTTTTTCACCAATTTCTTTCATTCTTAGGCCGGCGACGGGGACGCAATATTAAGGAGGTCGTGAGGTGGGGGTGATATTGCATCGAAACGGCCCTTTTCATTTTAAGGAAAATAGGAAGAAAGGGGACGTCCGTCATTCTGAAAACGAAATGTAAGTTGCCTGTAACTGTTCAAGGGCCGCGGATAACGGGACGTCCCACGAACTTCGGCGCATAGAGGTTTTCGTACGTATTGGGCTTGCATATAGGGTACGTGCATGGTATGGTGTCTGTTGTACTCCCAAGAAACAGACCACATACATGTTTACCGTGTTCTTTTTGAGGAGCGATTGACGTCCCTTCTTTCCCAATGAGGAAAGTCGGCAAGAGATGTGGAAACGTATGGGGTGAAGTTGCAAGTCGGCCTTTTCCATCCGGACTTGCAAGAGTAGCGCCCTCTGAAAAAAAGGGAGTTTGACGGCCCGTTTCTCACACTCCACCGTTATGTTGTCGTGCACGTCCCCATGCCGTTTGGCCTTCTGCGTTCCTCGTCCGCCATCTCCTTCCCGGTTCTCCTCCTTCGGCCAGTCATCTCACTGTTCGCTGCTTGTCCCTGAATCTGGGGGGTGATCATGGCCTCTGCCAGTGATCCCACGGGACTGTCCTGCATACAGGACTGGGGGTATACCGAGTCCCAGTACGGAACACAGGGACCAGACAATGCACCGCCTGCGGCGCCTGCACCCGGACAAGCAGGAATGTACACGCAGCTTCCCTCTGCATTTAGTCGGGACTGTGGGTCCTTGAACGGGACAGGGAGCGAAACCCAGTGGCCCTTCGAAGACGGTGTGGGTACACAAGTCCCGTCTTCACGGCCTTTGGGGACACTGGGACAGGTGGGCACACCTGTCGGGAGTGGGGTTCCATCATCGGACCCCGCTTTGTCACAGGTTCCAGAACCGCATGATGTGACGGGCAGGGTGACACGTCCCAGAAAGTGATTCTGGGACACCCTTGCGTGGCTTCTGTACACCGATTCGGCCCATTGGTGGTTTCTCTTTCGGGGTTTCGGGTGAAGATGAGCACAGTTTGCGGGAGCGTCTAAGGAGGCGTGCCATTGAAATGGCGGAAGGGCACTCATCTACTCCACATTGTGCACAACATTTGTCTTTCCACTCTGATGTAGCTCCACGTGACAAGTGTCGTGCTGGGTCTTCTGGTTTGTCACCCATCACTTCCGCCGACCACGTTACCAGTGCTTCTCCTACGCAGAGGGGGGGGGCTGCCAGCACGCCACCGGTGTCAGACGTGGCCGGAGGAGCAGGTGGGTCCTCGTTATCTCCGGCAGGACATGGCAGCCCATATAGCCCAAGCGTGGCATCTCAGCATCAGGTTCCATCGGAGTACTTGATAAATCGTCTAATTCGGGACATTGAGGATGGCATTTCCCCCGCTCATAATGCTGCAGACACTGCAGCTGCGGACAATGTCGGTGGCAATGCAGCTGCCCCTTCACGAACACCTCCTCGCCAATCCGGTGATCCGACGCCTGTGAATCGCACACCCACCCGGGCCGGTGCCCGCGGTGAATCTAGCGAGAGCCCTTCGGGTGTAGTCCGTGAGGCAGGAACTTCTCCTGCTGCACGTCCCCAGGGACAGCAAGGTCGGGCATGTCCCTCTGAAAAGAACAAGGACCGTTGGGGGGAGGACGAGACTGCATGGTTGTGCCGGTTCCGCAATGAGGTCACGTTGCTGATGATTGAGGATACAGAGGCATACGGACGGGCAGGGGTGAAGGGGAACTTCTGGAAGTTCGTGGAGCTGCGTATGAAGGAGAAGGGTTACAATCGCGATCACGAGCAGTGCAAGAACAAGTTCAACCAAGTGATAGAGTACTACCGGAAACTGAAGTGTCATGAGCGATGTCCGGACTTCCGAGCTACTGGGACATGAACAACACGAGACGGAAAAAATACAACGTCGATTTCGTACTGCGTCGAAGTTGGTATGACATCATCGACTCCGTTGAGAAGGACATGGACTCTATAAACCTAACGTATTTGAGGGACGGCGGTGACGACCCTCGGCACATGGACACTGACGACATGGCCGATGCACATGGAGAGACAGAGGGGGTGAGCGATGACCCAGGCGGCGGAAGCAGAGCTGCATCCGGCGGCTCACGATCGACAACTTTTGAACCCACGCTTGGAAAGAGGAAAAGAGGGATTTCCAATGCGCGTGAGGCCAGCGTGCAAGCCGTGACAAGTGCAATGCGTGACCACACGACTGCACTCACACGATCCGATCGAGAGTGTGCGAAGATGCGATGTGACACCACGCGTGATGTGGCAAAGCAACAGGCTGAACTGGCTACACAGCTAATGCAGCAGGACGTAGCTGGGCGTGAGAGGGTGGCCACCATTGTCGGGGATAGGGTCGAGAGTGGATACAACCGCCTGGCAGATGCCATTCTCATGATGGGATCCCGAAGGAGGAGTCGTTCATCTAATGATCCCCGTTCCAGTGAGTCTGAGTAAGGCGTGCCAGCGAGTCTGTGGAAACTGATTGCAGTCTCTATGGGTCTTTCGGAGCTTTTCCACGTGCTAAGCGTTGGTCTGCTAGTCTCTCTCTCTCTCTCTCTCTCTCTCTCTCTCTCTCTCTCTCTCTCTCT